ACAGAAAATCTATGGAGTATTGTGAAGAGGAAGATGTGATACAGCAGAGAAAACAATTGAGAAGAGCTGAAGGCCACTATCAGAGCAACCTGAACTCTCAGAACACCTGAGCAGTGACACACACTGATCCACTCCATGCCACGATGCATTGATGCAGTAATCCAGACAAAAGGAGCAACAACTAAGTATTGATGCTGAACATGCTCATACTTTTCATGTTCATACTTTTCATGTTTATACTTTTCATGTTCATACTTTTCATGTTTATACTTTTCATGTTCATACTTTTCACGTTTATACTTTTCATGTTTATACTTTTCACGTTTATACTTTTCATGTTTATACTTTTCAGTTGGCCAACATTTCTAAAAATCTTTTTTTATTGGTCCTAATTTTCAGTTTTTTTTTCATCTTTCGGCTGTTCCCTGTGTTAGGGGTCGCCACAGTGAACTAAGTCCCACGAAGACTTGGCAGTTATAATTTTTATGCTGGATGCCCTTCCTGATGTTATTACTGTTTTTCTTATACATTTTATTGTTGGATGTAACTGGGACCCTGTGTACATAATTTCGCTCCACCACATGTACCACATGAGGTGCGAATGACAATAAAGAAACTCTGACTCTGACTCTGACTCTGACTCTGATGCAACCGCAGACATTTTAATTTTTAATATGAGTTTAATATGAAACTACAAAATAAAACATGCCCACAAATAATATTTAAAACATTTGGAGATTCCATCCATCCATTTTCTTCCTCTTATCCGGGTAGGAACTCCTCCCTGACCCAGAGAGGGCACTCTACCCTTTTCTAGCTCAAGACCATGGCCTCGGATTTGGAGGAACTGATCTTCATCCCGGCCGTGTCCCACTCTGCTGCGAACCGCTCCAGCGAAAGCTGTAGATCACAATCTGATGAAGCCAATAAGACCACATCATCTGCAAAAAGCAGAGACGCAATCCTAAGGCCACCAAAACGGATCCCCTCAACACCTTGGCTGCGCCTAGAAATTCTGTCAATAAAAGTTATGAACAGAATCGGTGACAAAGGGCAACCTTGGCGGAGTCCAACTCTCACCGGGAACAAGCCCGACTTCCTGCTGGCGATGCAGACCAGGCTCTGACACCGGTCATACAGGGACCTAACAGCCCGTATCAAAGGGCCCGGTATCCCATACTCCCAGAGTACCCCCCACAGTGTTCCCCAAGGGACACGGTCGAACGCCTTCTCCAAGTCCACAAAGCACATGTAGGGCAAACTCACACACACCCTCCAGGACCCTGCTGAGAGTGTAGAGCTGGACCAGTGTTCCATGGCCAGGACGAAAACCGCACTGCTCCTCCTGAATCTGAGGTTTGACTATCTGACGGACCCTCCTCTCCAGAACCCCTGAATAGACCTTACCAGGGAGGCTTAAGAGTGTGATTCCCCTGTAGTTGGAACACACTCTATGGTCCCCCTTTTTGAATAGGGGGACCACAACCCCGGTCTGCCAATCCAGGGGAACTTCCCCTAATGTCCACCCAATATTGCAGAGTCGTGTAAGCCAACACAACCCTACAACATCCAGAGCCTTAAGGAACTCCGGGCGAATTTGATCCACCCCTGGGGCCCTGCCACCGAGGAGCTTTTTAGCCACCTCGGTGACCTCAGCACCAGAGATTGGAGGGCTTGACCCAGAGTCCCCAGGCTCTGCTTCCTCAGTGGAAGACGTGTCAGTGGGATTGAGGAGGTCTTCAAAGTATCCTGCCCACTGACCCACAACATCCCGAGTTGAGGTCAGCAGCACACCACTCCCACTATAAACAGTGTTGGTGGCGTATCGCTTTCCCCCCTGAGACGCTGGATGGTGGACCAGAATCGCCTCGAAGCCGTGCGGAAGTCATTCTCCATGGCCTCTCCGAACTCCTCCCATGCCCGAGTGTTTGCCTCAGCGACCATCCAAGCCGCAGGTCGCTTGGACTGCCGGTACCCATCAGCCGCTTCCGGGGTCCCACAGGCCAAAAAGGCCCAATAGGACTCCTTCTTGAGCCTGACAGAATCCCTCACCGATGGTGTCCACCATCGGGTTCGAGGGTTGCCGCCACGACAGGCACTGACAACCTTGCGGCCGCAGCTCTGGTAAGCCGCCTCGACGATAGAGGCACGAAACATGGTCCACTCAGACTCGATGTCCCCCACCTCCCCCGGAACATGTTCAAAGTTCTCCTGGAGGTGGGAGTTAAAACTCCGTCTCACAGGAGACTCTGCCAGATGTTCCCAGCAAACCCTCACAATACGTTTGGGTCTGCCAGGTCTGACCGGCATCCTCCCCCACCATCGGAGCCAACTCACCACCAGGTAGTGATCAGTGGACAGCTCCACCCCTCTCTTCACCCGAGTGTCCAAGACATGTGTCCGCAGATCAGATGAGATGATGACAAAGTCGATCATTGAACTGCGGCCTAGGGTGTCCTGGTGCCAAGAGCACATATGGACACCCTTATGCTTGAACAAGGTGTTGGTTATTGACAATCCATGACAAGCACAGAAGTCCAACAACAGAACACCACTTGGGTTCAAATCAGGGGGGCCGTTCCTCCCAACCACACCCCTCCAGGTCTCACTGTCATTGCCCACATGAACATTGAAGTCCCCCAGCAGAACAAGGGAGTCCCCAGGAGGTGCACTTTCCAGTACCCCCTCCAAGGACTCCAGAAAGGGTGGATAATCTGAACTGCCGTTTGGTGCATAAGCACAAACAACAGTCAGAACCTGTCCCCCCACACGTAGGCGGAGTGAGGCCACCCTCTCATTCATAGGGGTGAACCCCAACACACAAGCACCAAGTTGGGGGGGCAATAAATATGCCCACTCCTGCTCGGCGCCTCTCACCAGGGGCAACTCTAGAGTAGAAGAGTGTCCAGCCCCTCTCAAGGAAACTAGTTCCAGAGCCAGAGCCATGCGTAGAGGTGAGTCCGACTATTTCTAGCCGTAACCTCTCAGCCTCACACACCAGCTCAGGCTCCTTCCCCACCAGTGAGATGACATTCCACGTCCCAATAGCCAGCTTCTGTAGCCGAGGATCAGACCGCCAGGGTCCCCGCCCTCGGCCACCACCCATCCCACATTGCACCCAACCCCTTTGGCCCCTCCCACAGGTGGTGAGCCCATGGGAAGAGGGACCCACGTCTCCTCTTCGGGCTGTGCCCGGCCGAGGTCCATGGGTAAAAGTCCGGCCACCAGGCGCTCGCCCACGTGCCCCACCTCCAGGCCTGGCTCCAGAGTGGGGCCCCGGTGACCCACGTCCGGGCAAGGGAACATTAAGTCCATTTGTTTTTCTCATCATTGGGGTCTTTGGGCTGCACTTTGTCTGGTCCCTCACCTAGGACCTGTCTGCCATGGGTGACCCTACTAGGGGCGTAAAGCCCCTGACAGCATAGCTCCTATGATCATTGGGACACTCAAACCCCTCCACCACCGTAAGGTGGCAGCCCAGGGAGGGGCTTTTGGAGATTATGAATTGTAATTTCAGTGAAGTCTACACAAATGAACCTGTCAATTAACAAAATATCTTGGACACATTACACGCACATACAAAACGGACTGTACTTGTATAACTTTCTATCTTATCAAGACACTCAAAGCTCTTTACAACCTGTGCCTCATTGACCCATTCATACAGCTCTATACTAGATCTATACAAAGGAGCTTCATCACATTCATACACCAATGGGACAAACATTGGAGGCAATGAGGGGTTCAGTGTCATGTCCAGCGACACTTCAGCATGTGACTGCTGGTGGGATTGAACCTCCAACTCTTGCCCCAAACAAAATCAAAAAGCATGGTGACTTGCACAGTGACACAGCTCCTTCAGAGATGATGATGGATGTGTGGTGTACAAGAAAGAAAGAAAAACCATTTTAAAATTTGTTTTGTTTGTTTCTTTTTTTAACACGAGTTTAAAAATGCTGTCGTACCCACAAGGCACTGTCACTCATTCCTAACGCAGTTCTCAAGTAGTTAGCTCTGTTGCTTCACTGCAAGAGGTCCTGGGCTCCAGCCTCAGTGTTCAGTTTGCTGGTTGGTCTTAAAGTGGTGGTCTTAGTCCACCCTCATTCGCCCCACCCTGGGCCCATGAGCAAGGCCCTTAACCCCACCATGTGCTCCCTAAACAGGTCTCTCTTGAAAATGAGTTCTCGTGGCTCAATGAGACTAACCTGGATAAATAAAGGCTAAATGAAAAAAAAAAATGCTTGTGCGTTTGCTCCAGGTACCCATGTTTTCTCTCACTGACCAAAAATATGAACAGTAATACCTAAAGTTTAACATCTGTCTAACATCTTGATAAGAGCGCTGCTGTAGTTTGTTCTCTGTGGTATTTAAATATTTATTTTCTTTGCGTGCAGATACCGAGCACAACCGCAGGGAGGAGACATGCTCGGGAAGATTGAACACGGAACAGCGGCTTCCTACCTGTTACACGTCTTACACTGCTCATGCTTTAGGATAAAGTCATTTTTCAGTATTTCTAACTAATTACGCACATCTTGAATAATTTCAAACAAATGCTTAGGTGTGTATATAGTCCCAATAAAAGCGGAAAACATTTAATTAAACTACATTTGTAAAAAGACGAAAAACATTTGGTGTGCAAGAATACACGAAATAGAACTGTAATAACGTCAGATTTTGAGGAATTTTACTTAACCGTTTTATTCTTATTCCGTTCCTATCGGTACGCTGGTACTTGTAGTTTTAATTTACTTGCTCCCAAAGCTTTTCTATTTGAACGTTTCATCTTTATTGACTACATTTCCCAGCGTTCCACACACCAGTGGCACCTCCCGCTTCACCTTCCTCCCACTCCACTGGGCCGCGAGGAAGTTGCAAGATGGCTGATGTCGCTTGGAAGTAGTGTTCCCCTTTGCATCATGAAGCCGTGAGTGTGGAAGAAAGCGAGGGAGGCACCATCGGGCTTTTCTTTTTCTTTTCTTTTACTTTTCTTTTATTTCGTCAAACATCCATTTCATTCCGCGTCGTGTCCGTTCTGGACGTGTCTTCGGGAGCTGACGCGTCAAATCACGCCGGGGACCCTGCCAGACAAGCTAACGGCTAGCACCTGTTAGCAAACAGAAGAGCAGCTAGCCGCACAGCCGGGCACACCGTAATATTTTGACTTTAAGCGATATCCTGTCACGAGCGAACCAGCAACCTATCGCGACACAACTACTAACATTTCACGGATGTTGTGCACTATAAATGTCAAGAAAAATCCAGCTGTCGTTTGAAAAGGACCGGATTTCAAGGTTTTAACATTATGTTCGCTGACTGGCCTGTGGATCGCTAAGTGATGCGCAGTCCTCTGTTAATGTGCACTAACGCGACACGGTAGTTCGAGCAGCCGTTCACCAGCCCGCCGCATGCCCGGTACCTGCCGCCATCGGAACATTTGGAAGGTAGTTGTCCTACAGCTAAATTATGGGAGTAGGAGATGAGCGGAACTTTTTCTGGCTCTAGGTAGTGTCACTGGCCTTGCTGGCACCGCACCAGAAACCCACGAACTAACCCCGCGAACTAACCTACACTTTGTCCCGACTCGGGAGACCAGTTAGCTCACCTGGTCTCTCGCCCCAGCCCATTACAAACACGGCGTACAGAACGTACTGGGAAGCCGCTCCCAGCCAGACACACCGGCTCAACAACACCGTCATGGGGGTGCAGGGGTTTCAAGAGTACTTGGAGAAGCGGTGCCCCGGGGCCGCGGTCCCCGTCGACCTCCTCAAGCTTGCTCGTACGGCGGCCCGCCAGCCACCTCACCATCATCACCCACACCACCACCCACACCATCCCGGGCCCATGCCTCCCCCGCCGGCCAGGATCCTAATCGACGCTGACTCCAGCCTCCAGCGGCTGTATGGCGGCTACCAGACGGACTGGGTGTGCGGAGGCGAGTGGAACGCCATGCTGGGCTACCTGGCTGCCCTGTCGCAGGCCTGTCTGTATCAGGGTGGCCTGGAGCTCGTGGTGGTTTTCAACGGCACTCTGGGGAAGGAGCGCTGGCCCGAGTGGGCGCGGCGAGCCCAGGGCCAGCGACAGACGGCGCAGCTGATCGTCAACCACGTCGGCAGCAAGGCCACCCCGCCCCCCCGGGCATGGTTCCTGCCTCCGGCCTGCCTCAGCCACTGCGTCCGCCTCGCCATGTTCCGCTTCCGAGTGCGGGTGAGAAACAACTTCTAATGGCTATTTGAACTTGTTCTGAGTGACTGCTGGGTTGAGCTCTTTTCTGCGTTGTTTCATGAGGGTAATCCAGAGTTCTTGTTTTTCTTCAGGTTTGCCTACAGATTAATATGACACGTTTATATAACACTTGGACAAAATGATATTAGATGTTGTCACCTCCTTCAGAGATGATGATGATGAATGTGTGATGTACAAGAAAAAACATTACAAGTCAGTTTTGTCATAGAAGAAAATCAACTGTCATGTTTTTTTTGAGCAAACTCTTTTTGAGCATGTGTTAAAACATGCTGTCATACCACACTACCACTCGTTCATCCCTAACGCAGTTCTGAAGTCATTGTTTAGGTCTCGGCTGATCTATTTTATGAGGCTGAAGCTGATCTTAAGAAATCAGTGCAGCCGTTGGCATATATATATATAACTATTTTTATTTACATATAAACATACACATTTTCAATTGAACTAATATAGTGTAATTGCTGAGCTTAAAAACTGTATTTCACTACACTTATTAGAACTTTGACAGTTAAAATACACACACAGACACGTCGTTCTTCAGGAGATAAAATAATGCAGTAAACTCGGCCACTGATTGAATCCACTTAGGAAGCAGTAATCTAGTTGACCCTGTATTTGCAGTTAGTCTAATGATATGGCAGTGCTTTTTTAAATGGGGATTAGGGTTCAAGTCCTGCCATGGATGTTTGTTTTGTGTTTATTTATTTTTTATTAATCTTGTTCACTATCTTAACCTGCTTTTCCTGTCTGGATCAAGTGGAGCTGGTGCCTGTGGTCCAGATGACATGATTTAACATTTTATGATTGAGCTTACAACCTTTTATATTCACTACATTGCCAAAAGTATTTGCTCACCCATTAAAGTATCAGAATCAGGTGTTCCAGTCACTTCCATGGCCACAGGTGTATAAAATGAAGCACCTCGGCATGCAGACGGTTTTTACAAACGTTTGTGAAAGAATGGGTCGCTCTCGGGAGCTCAGGGAATTCCAGCGTGGAACTGATAAAATGCCACCTTTGCAACAAATCCAGTCGTGAAATGTCCTCCCTCCTAAATATTCCACAGTCGACTGTCAGCTGTGTTATAAGAAAATGGAAGTCAGTGTTTCCCCTAGTTAGCTTGCCATGGCATGGTGCTCATCTCATCCATGATTTTTGCTGATGGGGGGTACAGAGACATGTCTGAGCGCAGCTTGTACTAAAGCCCCCAGTATACTGCCGCGTACATCCATACGCAGAGGTACGCATGTACGTATGCAGAGGTACGTGCGTACCCCCCAGCGTACCCTCCGTGCAAAGCTCAAATTTTTACGACCGCATACGCGGTGTCGCACAATAAACTGCCCAGCGAGGGACTGTTTTGTATGCGACACCAATGTATTATTAAATTCCCCTTCTTCATCTCTGATCTGGCCTTTTCTTTAGTTTTTTTGCCAAGAGGCAGTGATCTCTTCCTCCTCCGTTGATGCCATGACTGAAATGGTGAGAAATGAAAGAATTTGTCTCGAGCGAATTAAACTCAGGGCCAGCGTGGCTGCGGGAGGGTCTGGAGATTTCCTGGTGGGCTGGTCTGATGTGTGGACTGCAGAGCCAGCGCTCCCTGTTTTTTTTATTTTAGATCTTTTTATTAACAACATATAAACACAAACACCGCTGCAGCTGAGGCTGCCAGCGCTCGCTTTTTTTTTCTTTTTTTCTGACCTGTCAATCAATCCAGTAGGCGTGTCAGCAAATGACCAATCGGCGACCTCAATTTGTCCCGAAGGTAAACGCCCCTTGTCTGTGAAGCTGCTCTGCAGCTGCTCGGGGTGGACGCTCGAGTATCATGTCTGAACCCTCTGTGTACAGTACATACACGTGAACGGACTTACGCGGGAGTATACTGGAGGCTTTACAGTTTTTGAGCGGGGGTGGGGGGCGTTCATCATGAGGGAAGAGGCAATGTGAGTGCTGCCTTTGGCTTTTTAGCTAGAGAGCCTGTATTTCGCGCCGCTAGCTTAGTGATATGTCAGTGCCGGGTGGGGGGGAGGGGGGCAAGTACAGTTTGGTAGGCGGGGTGCTCAGTTCTGTTGACGGGGTGGGGCACCCCGCCTGTATAATGGTAGGGGAAACACTGGAAGTGTTTGGGAATGACAGCAACTCAGCCACCAAGTGGTAGGCCACGTAAGCTGACGGAACGGGGTCAGCAGATGCTGAAGCGCATGGTGCGAAGAGGTCGCCAACTTTCTGCAGCATCAATCACTACAGACCAGAGTCTGGTGAGGATGAACTTGACTGGCCTGCACAGAGTCCTGACCTCAACCCAACAGAACACCTTTGGGATGAATTAGAGCAGAGACTGAGAGCCAGACCTTCTCGTCCAACATCAGTTTGTGACCTCACAAATGCACTTCTGGAAGAATGGTCAAAAATCCCCATAAGCACACACTTAAACTTGTGGACATCCTCCCAGAAGATTGAAGCTGTTGTAGCTGCAAAGGGTGGACCAACGTCATATTGAACCCTATGGATTAGAAATGGGATGTCACTTAAGCTCACATGTGAGTGAATACTTTTGACAATGTAGTGTAAATGTATGGGAAATCAGTTTTGGCAGATCAGAGGTATTCAAAAACTGAATATCACCCCACAAAACTGGAAACTGCATCTATACAGGCATATTATGTCTATGGTGTTAACCGGATCGAGATTAGCGGCGCCTCAATAACTTCTCTTTCCATCTCTTTAAACACAGAACTTCCAGTTAAGGATGGGGCCGATCCAGTATCTGTATCGGCCTCTGATACCAGCATAATTTACATATCGGATTTTTCCGATCCACCTGCTGATATTTCTGATCCATGATGCATGTTGGCTTCAAACTATGGAATGGATTTCCTGAACGGAGGCGTGTCTCATGAACCCAGAGTAATAAGACCCGCCTCACATTCAGGAAATCCAGTTCATAGTTTGCAGCAGCTACAACGTGAGGACTGAGTTAGCAGCACTGTAGCTAACAGCTAACAAACTTTTCATCTAAACATGTCGCTGTGTGGAAGTATTTTACACTAAACACCACAAAACAAGACAGCAACGTGCACTGTCTGCAGAGCCACGTTAAACCACGGTAAAGTTAGTTTTATGATGAACATTCGAGCTCCGGGGCTTCAGCGGGACGCTGCTCTTTGCTCAACCCACAACAGGCGACTCGACCCCGGTCAGCCCCTCGGTCTCTGAGGAGGGACTGACTGAGCGCAGCTGACTGAAATCAGGCTGCCTGCTTCGGACTGAACAAGAAGAAGACGTCGCTGAAACCACGGAGCTCTAATGTTTACAGAGAAGTTGCTAAACTTCATCATAATTAATGACCAACCACTATCAGTTGTAGAAAACAAAGGATTTCTCAGTTTGATACTTGCAGCCAAGATCTAGTTTACCCTCCAGGAGATATTTATCAGTACAACAGGAGACAATCATAAAAAACTTATGATTTGAAAATTATATAATAAAACAAAAACATTATAAAGTGATGTAAAATACTAAAAACAGGAACATGTCTGTTGGTTTATGACATGAACTTAGCAGATGTTTGAAGACATTTAACATTTTATTTTATTTAATTCATTCATTTAAAATAAACAAAATAAAAAAAAAATCATCAAAAAGAAAACATTGAATGAAAAGAGTTCAGAAAGAAGAAAAATTTTATTTCTGCCCCTTATTTAAAAAAATATAAAATAACTTTAAACTATCACTTAAATTAATCACTTTAATATCCACTTTAAAACTAGGAATAAAAAGAAACATGTTTTGTGTTAGAATTTAATTCTAACTTTAAATTTTATCCAACATTAATAAAACTTACCTCAAGTTGCCTTTTTGGACATGCATGCATATATTTGTACAAATTTTACTTGAGAGCAGATTATTACAGCCTCATTTAAAATCAATGATGATCATGATATCGGAACTGGATCGGTATCGGACGATATTTAGATGTAGGTATCGGAATCGGATCGGAAGTAATAAATAAATAAAAAAGTGGATCGTGTATCCCTACTTCCGGTTACATTTCAAAATAAGAGCAACATAACTGGGTAGTGGGGAGGGTGAAATGTTTGTTTTTTAATACCTAGTCATTCCATTAAAAAACAAAATCCATTTTGTTTGTTGAATAATGTGAAAATAGTTACAATCGATTCATAAATAAATAAAAATAAAGTAACCAAAATATTAATGATACTTCAACTGTCTTTGGGACAAAGGGTGTTTCTTTAACGTCACATTTTCTTGTTCATCTTTTAAATCAGTCGCTGCAGATGAGTGAGTGTCAGTGTCAGATTCTGCACCTGGAGCAGGTATTCTGTTTACTGCTTCACCTCCTCAGCTGTCTCACATTTTAAGGCTCAGTCCTTCTCCATGTTTCAGCTCCTCTCATGGATCACATCTCATAGAAGAACTTCCTGAGAACATTTTGTTTTGGGCCGTTATCTCGTCACAGGACTCCTGATCTTTAATTGAGACCAGACTTTTTGACAAATGCAGCAGTTTCTCTTCAGATGCTTCATAGTTCATTGTACCCAGACCAGACTCAAACCAACCTGTGTCAGGTGCAGCTACAACCAAGGACTAAAGACAATCTTCTTGAGTTTGACAGCAGATTTAATGCTGCTTCTTAGAAACCTTCAGTTTTAAAAAAAGAGCTGATGTAACTTAACTAAAGAGCAGCAGGTACAGCCAATCAGTGTTTGTCCTCTAGACACGCCTATTCTCCAGAAACGCCCACTTTTGGGCTGCAGAGAACCCCTTCTC